AACATATATAGAAGGTGCACAGTGTCATTCACACGAACACTAAACACCATTGTGGTAACACACATGAAACTGAAATCATGCAATAAACATTCATTTAACAACATTAGGTGTAACATACAACCCTGATATACAAAACTGATAAGAAAAACTAAGAAGAAACATAGTTATTTCAACAAAAATACATCAAATTTGAAATGTAACGCAGTGAATTCTAGGAATGTCAATTTACGGTTATTCACTGTAAATTATGCTCTTTTTCACTTCCAAAAACGGTATACTACCGTAAAATTAATGTCCAATACATGTAATGTCCAATACAGTTTTTCACCGTGTATAGTAGGGGAATTTACTAGGGGTTTTTACTGTAGCATATTTACAGTCTTTTACTATTAAATTCACGGTCATTTTTTACAGTGTGGGCATTTTACAAATCCATCGTTAACAAATATAAACATTTAAAATTGTACAGTCTTTTTGTTATTGGAAAACTTACGCAATTCTGACTACACTTATAAAAATAAAGGTGCTTAAAAGGTTCTTCACAGCGATGCCATAGAAGAACCACTTTTGGTTCCACAAAGAACCATTCAGTCAAAGGTTCTTTAAAGAACCATGTCTTTCTTACCTTTTTATAATCTGAAGAACCTTCTTTTGCCACAAAGAACATTTTGTGAAACAGAAAGGTTCTTCAGATGTTAAAGGTTCTTCATGGAAGCATTTAGACAAAAGAGGTTCTTCTATGGCATCGTGAAGCACCTTTATTTTTAAGAGTGTAGCAATAACAAATCATGTTCCTGGCCACCACATAAATTGAAGCATATTGGCTATTTATTACAAAAGGTGCCTTCGATACGAGCCCCCTGCTCAAATACTGCATATAATACACATAAAAACATATAAACAAACATTTGCATAAGGTATATGCTAAGCTAGCAGGCTAATTAGTTAACGGTATGCTAAGCTAGAACACTGTGTAGCCTACTACACTGTGCAAAACACAAGCTAACTAAAAAAAACACAAAGAATTTGTGTATTTTTGCCTTTATTGTGATAGGACAGTATAATGACAGGAAGTGAAGTAGGATGGACCGGGAAAGGTCCGCAAACCAGGACTCGAACTCAGGATGCCCGAAGCACAACAATATGTCGGTGCGCTGACCACGAGGCTATCGGCACAACTTTCTAACATTTAAAATAAATAATGGTCGTAAAAACAGTTCAGACAACATATAGCTACATCATGAAGGAATTTTTGAAGTTTTTTTATCGGTAGACCAAATTCTTAATGATGTACAGGCTCATTTTGGTTCATTTGTCTATTTCAATTAAATAATAAGTTCAAATTAAATAAGAACAAAATAGCAGTTTAGATAGCAACAAACAGATTGCTAAAAAAATGTATAGGACCTGTATCCCCCCTCTGAAAAAGTTTGAAATCCACTGGTCTTTTGACACCCCAATAATTCACACACACAGAGAAGAATCTAAAGAACGTATTTGAATATGTGATTTGAATATTAGAATATGCCGCAAACATTGTCAGTATAGGTAGATACCATGGTGTGAATGTTTCTTTAGTTGGCGTAAACGGAAGCCATATTTTTTTAAGCGATGCAGTCGGCTAATGTATACCTTTTTTGTTTTTCAAATAAATGAACAGACTCTCATTGCTCCAGCACACTTTATCCCATAAATTGAAGTAATCCGTTTTCATCAGAGAGGTATAATTTACAACCACAAGAGGTCGATACACACACTAGCAAGCGCTGCTGTCTGGGTCAACATACCCCCCGGAACTTATTTTTCCCCAAAATGAATGCCACTTCTTTCAGCCAAGCAGCTTCGCATTGCCATTTGTAGGTTAGTCCGGATAAATCATTCAGCCCCCTTGTACAAACATCCACAACAGTTCCTTTCAGATAATAAGGTCAGGGAGCACATTCCAGGCCAAGGTTGACGGTATTGGAGTCTAAATTAAGAGTCTGCATGTGGTAGAATGCTGGTCAACAACAGCCTTTGTATGAGCTTAAATAACTCGCGTTTTCATTCAGATAGCACACGACTAAAGCATTTACACCTTTTTTGCTATTATTTTAACTTGAAAGGAAAGAAAAATGATAAATATACATGTGTTTAAATATTAACATTTATATCATATGCATGGGTTTCTGGCATAAGTTTAAAAAAAAATCATAGAAAAAAAAAAAATAATAATAAAATACAAACTGCATACAATGTAACACAGCTCCACCAGTATGCTGTCTAAAATGGTGTGCAAGAATTGACTGAAAGCTGATCCCTTCATTCCTATCTTCTCTGGCAGAGAAGAGTCTCTCCAGATCAAGTTCACACACTTTGATGTATGGCATTGCCTTACACGTACATTCTGCTGGCTTTGCTGTGTAAATACTGGAAATGTCTGTATTACTTCTAGGGGTCAGAGAGGAACATTTTATTCCTGCTCAGTTTGAACCCCTCATATTACAGTTCAGGTATACCTTTGTTTACCAAACAAATCACTCAAAGCCACAATAGCGTATATGCCTGTATATCTGTGTAAAAATGTTTGAGATCTATAAATATGAAAGATTATATATGTTATGCAAGATCAGATTGTGATTAAGCACCTATTACTCCAGTCTTCAGAGTCACGTGATTCTTCAGAAATCATCATAACATGCTATAACAATATATCAATGTGTGCATAAATATAGGCGATAGTCGATATTCTGATTTTTTTTTTGTTTGTTTCTGAAGCACATTTTACCAATGCCAAACCACATCAGTTTTAATACTGTAACTGCTATGAATTTTGTTTAAACTCATTTGTAATTGATATTTAATCGTTAATGAGGGCTAGAAGTAAAAAACGCCTTGTATTCAGGTCCACAAAACTTTTTTTTTAAATCAGTCTTCATTTATTTTATGATGCGTATTAAGTGGGGGTAATGTTTCGGGATTCCTTACCTTAACAAAGTCTCTGAGAACCTGGCACCTTGTACTTCTGGAGACTCCAGATAGTTTGCAGTTCTGGAAAAAGGTGGCACTGGAGACTAAAGGCTTCCTAATGGTTTAATTCTTGGTTTAACACCTAATTCTTCACCTTAATTCTTTACTCTTTTGCAGTTAATATATTGTCTTCTAAACCTGTTTTTTGTGATCCTGCTGCCCCAATGACCATTTCTTGTTCAATGGCCATGCCTCATTTAGCAACTTCTATAGTATTGCATCCTTCTCATGGACATTTAATAATTTTGGACCTTTCAATGTGTTAAATCTCTTTTTTGCCCCATTTTACCTGGAAAAGAAAACCTGCTATATAATAATTCACATCTGAATATAAGACTTTTTTACTTCCAGCCCTCGTCAACAATTATATTTTATTTATAATTTATAAATGATTAAAATTCATAGTAGTTTGTTTTAAGATTGATGTGTTTTGGAATTAATTAAATGTGCTTGGAAAAAAATATGATCAGAATTATTGACTTTATGCACACACTATATTTGGTGCTCAAGAAATTTTATTTTTATCAATGTTGAAAACGGTTGTGCTGCTTAATATTTTTGTGTAAACGGTGATAATTTTTTCAGGATTTTTGGATGAACAGAATGTTCATAAGAACAGCATTTATTTGAAATATTTTTGTAATTATTATAAAAATTATTTTGTATTCATTTTTGTAAAAGATGGAAAGATCTATACTGTATGGACCCCAAATATTTGAACTGTAGTGTACAATCATTCTGTAAAGAACCACGAATACTAGCATCACAATTCAGTTTTTCTTTGTTCCTTTGACTCGCAAGGTGTTGCAAGCAATACATGTTTTACTGTACACTACACTACAGTATTTGGGAATCGGGGCAAATCTCTTATCTGCTGCAATGTCTGGGTCCAACTGCTGGTGGAGCTGCAGACCTTAAACTCACTGGATAAACATGAATGCAACAATCCAGTCTAATAAAAGCTAAAGCTTAATAGTGCAAACGTGCCATATTCACAGCCAAAATAGCATTATGTGAATGGGCAAGCACTGACGACCACTAATATCTGAGCTCCCATTATGACCCAACATCTACGATTTTGTAATCAAATCTGTATAATTATTGCATATCATACAATAAACGCAACATGATGGTGATAACCTGTACAGATTCTGAAGCCAGCATTTGCTGCCAGTTATGATGTTGCAGGCTGTTGCTCTCTAGGTCATTAGAGCAGCCCTCATAAGACAGAGACTATTTAGTCATTGGGTCATTACTGTGAACAGTGCTAATTAATCTCGGAGCACAGAGCAGCGTCGTGAGAGGGGCTCTGGTTTTTGATTACAATAGGAAAGCATTTGCTGCGGTCGCCATAATGATACCAAGCTCCTGCTAGAAAGCCCGCGCTCAATCCGGTTACGGACAAGGTTTAATCAATACTGTGTCCTTCATCCTGCATTCAGGGCCGACCTTGGCAGCCTTTTGTCTCCTAAACGAGGGCAAAGAGCATAAATGTGGATACACAGAGAAAAAAAAAAAGAATGGTCCAAGCACTGATCCCACATGAAAATAAAACACTAGCGCATCTAGTCAGCTCATTTGGAACCTAATGAGCGATCATATGTTTATCATTATTTTACCTTAGCCTAATAAAGTGTCACCGTGCCAGGATCGTTTCTAAATTTATTAGAGCCTCCTAATGTAGGCAGAAAGGTTAGAAAGGGGCAGACAACACCAGCACAAACATATCAGGGTTCAATCAGGGTCTACCTATTGATTCATTTGAAAACAAAGAACATTATCATGCAATAGAGGGCTATAGTAGACCAAATGATGTGAAACAGCAGGTATATTTAAGCAGTGAATATGAAATATGTAGATAAAGGAGCCTTGAACAACCTCCAGACTTGAAAATGCTAATCAGCAATTCCTTATGACTGAATTATCACCATTGAAATATTCTTAGAAGCATCTCGGGAACAGATAAATCATGAAAACACAAATGCAAAATCTATTGTTGGAAAAACAAATTTAATGCATCACTCTGCAATACACCAAATTTTGTGTTACAAAACATGAAACAAACTTATCGAACATTATCGTCAGCTAACAAAGGATTAGGAATATCGACAGTAAACAATTTACTTGTGTAATAATGAATAAAGAAACAAGTAAAATGGCTTCACATCTTCCTCTTCTGGGTGCTGATGTATAACACTAGAGGACAAATAAAACAAAATGAACTTTGGTATATGCAAAACATCTATAAAAAGTAAAAGGTTTGAGAACATGCTCACAGACAGATTATGAAACGACACACTGGGTCTGCTTAAGTTGAAAACACTATGAAAACAACTCAGGAAAGAGCACACTTGAAAAACATAGACAACACATACCATTGTTTCCTCTGAGAAATGCATCTCCATACTTGTTCTTCAGCTGGCCATTGACATATTCCTCTGTCTGTTCCACGGCGATATTCATGTAGCCGTCAAGGCAAGCCAGGACTCCTAAAGGCAAAACACACATTAGACATAATGTAACTTTAAATGGGTGTTTTTTTGCACCTATTAGAAAACTTAAAATTCTCGTCTTAGTGATATTTTATATTGTACATAATTCTGCGCTATGATATGGGGAAAGCAAATGGTCCACCCACAGTTATGCACCAGCTCCAGATTAGAAAAGGTCTGAGCTGTGTTGATGCAGCTCAGGGAAATATTCCTTTCCATGGATGCCAGAGGTCATTTTGACTGAACATGTTTTTAAATTTAAGTTGAATATTTTTGTCAGTGGATATATAGCAGCAACAGTGGGGGATTGAAAAACATTTAATTTTAGACTAGTCAAGTATGTGTCGATGTCAGTTATATGCAGAATAGCATTCTTTGACAAAAACGTGGGCTGAGTCTACACTTTCTAGAGCAGTGGTTCTCAACTAAGAGGATGGGTGTGATTTTTCTTTTTTTTTTATCTTTAAAAATCATTTAAATTCCATCTTATATCTCTATGGGTATTTTTATAATGGATATACATTTTTTCTAATTATGCCAAAATATTTTAACAAGTAAAAATTACTTTTAAATGATACAAATGTAAAATTTTAATTTTAAAACATAAAAAACTAAAGACATTTTTTAAATACATTTTTAAAAATCCTTATCCAGTAAATCACAAGCAACTGGAAAAATCATGGGGCCTTTGAATATTGTTATAGACAATGGATTGCCTTGGAGTCAAAAAGGTTTAAATGTAAAAAAAAAAAAATGTTTACGTTTGGTAAAGCTAGTAAAGGGAGGATTCAAACTGAAAGCCTCAGATCAAGAACAGGGTAGATCCACAGTCATATTTATGATATGACATGTTTACCAGATTTACATCCACACAGCGGCATTTTCTTATTTCCAAAATTCTGAATACGATCAAAGTGTCTGGGTTTTTTAATTCTTGCCTTCTTGTATGATGTCCCTGACCAACTTTAAAGGGGTCATATGATGCTGCTAAAAAGAACATTAGCACCAAGAGCTTGTAACACTCCAAAGAGAAAGGAAAAATTGAAATCGCATCATATGACCCCTTTAAACTAAATCTACAACCTTGGTTTATAAATCTCATTTAAGATGCTTCTACATTTAACGTTACCTCTGTAATCGACACCAGAGTTCAGCTTCACCACCACTGGTCTCCCAATGATCTGCTTCAGGAAATCACTTGGTGTCTGCTTCCGGAGACTCATTTTTACTGAAAATATAGAGAAATTGAAGATTATAAATCACTAACGTAACATGATCACAGTTGTAAGGAAATGTGCCCAGGCTTTATTGTTAGCAAAAAAAGAACTGTAACACAAGAGAATAACGCCGTGAGATTAGTTTATCATTCACTGACTATACTAAACACATTCTTTTTAATGAAACCGCCAATCTAGGTTTTAAACCGCTGTACATTTAGCATGAGCGGCTAGCTTAGCCTGTTAGCATTACAACCCAGTGTAGGACACAATACACTCGTTATACATGTCGCAGAGTACAGTAATGCAATTTATTTAACCCTCCGCTAACGCCAAATGTAACGTTACTCGTTTATTTAAAGAACACAAAGAAGTCACTCACCTCTATCGTTTTGTAACGTTTGCCGCACGCTTCGACTGAGTGACTGTTGACCAATGAACTGAAGCGCTTATGGTGTTTACACCGCGCAGCCAATCAGAAGCGTCGATAAAAACCCAGCGTACGGAAGCCGCAAAGATAACATTATCTCCTTTGAAAAATAATGCGGAGAGGAAAAGGAGCCAAAACGACAAAGGTAGTGAAGACAGAGAAGCTTCGCTTTTGTTTTAGTAGGAAATTAGACGGGTGCGCTAATGAATGATAGATAGATAGATAGATAGATAGATAGATAGATAGATAGACTGTTCAAATTAGAATTGTAAAATATAATATTTGGTATACTGTAAAAAATATATATACACAAATATTGTGTATTCCCTGTAAAAAAAAAAAAAAAAAAAACCAAGGAAATCTCTATATATTGTGTAGAGAGGTGTGACTAAAAACACATAGGGAAAAGAATATCTTGAGTAGCCGAAAAGAGAGATGGGGGAGAAAAAACCTGTCTTTTGTTCACAGGCAGAGGAGGGCATGCACCTGAGAGACAGAATCATAAAGCACTTCTGGCGCATCCAGACAGTTTGCTTGTTAGCAGGGCATTGCTAGCCCTGAGGAGGCTAGAGGTTAATTTGGTATCTGGTGCCGTGTTAAACTAAGGTCAGCGCTACAAGTCCTTAAGTCATAAACAAGTGTGGTTAAGAGCCGTGTACACACCTAGGCACAAGTTAATGAATATTCAATGAGTATTTTTTTCCCTTGTTGCCTGAGTTCATGTCCTAAAGGAGGGTTAAGAGGGGAAAATGTGATCTAATGTGTCTGTCAAAGCAATCATTCATTTAAGAAAAAAAAATAAACAGGTTAACAGATATTTTAGTAGAGGCACACAATACCTGCATGTTCTGTGGTAAATATATAAAGAATGATTTGAGCGATATGACAAAGACTTGACACACACACACACACTACGGCGCATTCTTGACTTTCCTGGAAAAGCATGAGTGGCTTGGCTTGTTAAGTGATACTGAATAAAAACACAATGAAGCGGTAGAGATAAAGAAAGCATTTCATTAGCTTTTTTTCTTCACAGTTTTGCCTGTTGCTTGGCAAAGGACGAAGAATGTTTCTGTCAACACAAAAGAAGACATTTTAACCTTACCGACCTGTCCTTCAAAAGTGTTTGTCTAGATATTTTGTACGTTGATGTGAATGTGCATTAATTGTATAGCGCAGACTGGCTAGAGACAAAAAAAGCTTTCAGGTTTACCCAGTGCAGACAATCTACTCTCACCACGATCCTGGGAATAACCCCACAGCTACTCCCAAACCAGTAACGTGTTGTAATAGCTGCCCAGCGATGCCAGATGGGACTGTTTTCACCCTGCCTTGAAGACGCTGGTGAGCTCGAGATGGACAGTGGCACAGTTGATTTGCTGGTACAACCCGCCTCACCTTTCTAAGCCCCCAAAGACCTGAGAGGGAGTGGAGGAAAAATGAAAAGATTACAGAGGCAGCTTCAACAGGGTTGGGGGGTGGGTCAGGCTGAGGGGTGTCAGATGCGAGGGGAGGGGGAACCCTCGGTTGCCGCAGGCTGTCTCGAGGAAGAGGACGGAGGGGCGAGGAGAGGAAAGTCTAGACTAGGCTGACCTTTGCGGGCCAGGGCTTTCTCTACGGGGTCAAGTTGGATATGGAGGGAGGATAATGGAAAAACCTCAAGGGAGTTTTCAAATGAAATCCAGATTGGCTGCCGGCATGTAGTTTTTCTCCTCCCCTTCCCTCTACCTAATCCCTGCACTGCATGGGGGTAATAGTGTGGAAATGATGGGGGGAGCGTCGCCTTGATCAAAAATGAGCAGTGGAACCTTGCTCACCTTTTCTAACACCCGGATTCATGCCCACTATATATATTTCTGTGCATGCAGCCACTGCAGGCCAGGTTATCCAATGCGATTCCAGGCACTGGCTGCAGCCTCTAGACCTTTGTCAAATACCTAGCTGAAATTATTTAGGAGAGCCGCCTTATATCCGCATTCTTATATACAGTACTTGAAATGAGCTGAAGCCAATGTATGAGATTTAAGAATTTGTTAGATGTATTTGCTTTGACATATCTGACATTGGTTCAATTCTATCATCTTTCTAGAAAAAATATATCTGCAGTCCTTTTGAAGATATAATCTCGCAACATTTGAGATATAAAGGAAAAGTCATTTTTGCTTCACAAATTTGAATATCTGGGAAATGTGTCATTTAGAGTCCTCAAATGTTCGCAGTGAACTATTAGCAATGTCTGCCTGTGCAGTGAAGTATAAGTGCTAATTGCTATTTAAACAGCTAAATGCTAATTAACGCTAATGAATCTCATCTTGATTCTCTGTGAGCTCCGCCATTTTGAGTGTGGTATACAGTGCCTGGCAAAACCAATGTTCTCATTTTGTTGAATTACATGTTCTACACTAATATTTTATTGCTCTTAATGAGATACTCCACCCAAAAAGGAAAATTAATTGCTCACCCACATGTCGTTCCAAACCCATATAATCGTCGTTTATCTTTAGAACACAAATTAAGATATTTTTTATTAAATCCGAGAGCTTTCTGACCCTGCATAGACATCAATGCAGCTGAAATGTTTTATGGCCCAGAAAGGTAGTGAGAACATCGTTAAAACAGCACATGTCACATCAGTGGTTCAACCACAATTTTATGAAGCTACGAGAATACTTTTTGTGCACAAAGAAAGCAAAAAGAATGACTTTATTCAACAATTTCTTCTCTTCCATGTCAGTCTTCTTGGGGCGTTCACAAGAGTACCACAACACGTGTGTGCATTCCTCTGCTTGTAAACAAGACGCAGGAGCATCCATGTTCGACTGACACAGAAGAGATGAAATTGTTGAATAAAGTCATTCTTTTTGCTTTCTTTGTGCACAAAAAGTATTCTCGTAGTTTAATCAAATGAAGGTTGAACCACTGATGTCACATGGACTATTTTAACAATGTCCTTACAACCTTTCCTGACCTTGAACATGTCAGTTGCGTTGCTGTCTACTGTATGCAGGGTCAGAACGCTCTCAAAATATCTTAATTTGTGTTCTGAAGATGAACGAAGGTCTTACAGGTTTGAAACAACATAAGGGTGAGTAACTAATGACAGAATTTTCATTTTTGGGTGAACTATCCCTTTAAAGCTGCAACAGATGAGTGCATGAAGTGCCCAACGTTCCACACATTTTTCAGTTATTTAAGTGCATCATCTGGGCATTTTAAATTAACTTTTTTCTTTTAGAAATTTTCAGTGTGACACTAATCACTATTTACTAAAAAATGGCATAGAATAGTACATAAATATTAAAATTGGGACGCACCTATCATTTAATTACCCTCATGCTGTCCCAGATGACTTCCTTTCTTCTATGGAACACAAATAGGGATTTTTAGAAAAAATAATCTACCTTTCAGAGTTCATATAATAGAAGTGAATGGGTCTTTTAAAATTGAACACTTCAAAACCATGCAAAATGAACATGACGGTAATCAATGCAATCCCAGTTTATGAATCATTGTCTTCTGAAGTGAAATGCTGAGTGTGTGAGAGAAAAATAGTAACTTTTGAACCCTTCACTTCTGGCCAACTGTCAAACACAGGTTCAGGAGTTCTCTCTTGACATGATGGATTATTTTTCTAAAAATCTCTGCTTGTTTTCCACAGAAGACATATTCCCTGTATAGCTCGTATGGCATGAGGATGAGTAAACGATGAGAGAATTTTCATTTTTTGGATTGAGTATCGCTTAAATATGGATGACAGGTTAGAGTTGTGTGAGAGTTTGTAGGATTTGATCTTTGATCTCTTTGATCATTAAACCACCAGGATCCATTGGAATATTGTATATTTTTCTGGGTGCCTTTCATAATTTATGCATATGTTTGACTTTGAATTCCATGGCTGACCTTCAGTTTCACATCCTAAATAATGATGCAATAACATTTTTACTGTCTATATTGCAAAAGGTGGCACTGGCAAATGTTAAAGTGTGAAGAATGAATATTTATGCAAACAGTATATTTATTTTTTTGTTTAAAATAAACCAGAGCACATTTCATACTTGAAGCTTAATTTTTATGTGTTATTTTTATTTCTATGTAATTCTAATGCACTGCATATCTAGGCTATGAAATGATAACCCATTACCTCTAAACTCCTGCTGAACTGTCTGTGCAGGCAGTTCTTATTCATCTGCGTGCATGTTCGAGGAAGAGGGAGAGAAAATCTTTTCATGTTCAAGACTGATGCCTTGCAGTGGTTCAACACATTCAGACCACTACATACGCCCACCTTCAGCACCCAACTCCTCAACCGATCATAGAACTAACTCTTCACAACCCACCCAAAAGGCATGGCTCCATTAGGAGAGTGGGACCAAAGCCAGGTAACCCATCCAGGATATCCCAAGCAAGGTAATAAACAAAAACACTCTTGGATATAAACTGAGCAGTGCTTGATGCTTGACATGTCATTTATATTATCCATATATTTTATGTATTTAATTTTCTTTGTTACACTTAATGACAAAAGTCATATTCCCCCAGTGGTGTCCCCCAACTTTTTTTGGACCAGGTTTCCCTGCTGCTTGCTTTTTTTCAAAAAGGCCATGTTAAGGTGGGTCAGTGTGCGAGCGTATCTTTGGTTTGATTGCATGTATAATTACAGTGATGTAGGGAGAAATGTTTGCGAATGAAGGACAGGAGAGCTGAGCATATAAAAGGAGCACTTCACATCCATAAATATGCATTGTGACATTTGGAACAAAGCCCCCTCATTCTACTTTCATGATGAGTTCAGCTAGCATCCTGTAACATATTGCCCATACAGTTTCACAAGCATTCTTGCCAGTTCATCAGGTTTGCTCTTTGCCAAAAAAGGGGTTGTTGTTAAAAAAAGATGGTAGCTCTTTCTTAAAGGTACTCTACTTTGTAGAAGAAGGATTGCCCAATTTGTGAAGCAGAGAACAATGAGTTGATATATTTATAGCAATAGTTGTGACATCAGAACGCTGGCTTCTGCATCAACAGCACCACACATATGCATCGTGGGACTCTCGT